CTCATTGAGCAATGATTTGGGAATAGAATGGAGTTAAACCACACTAACCTAAAAATAATTTCTATTAATGTAAACTCAATAGTATCCCTTCAACGACGTAATGAACTCTTAATATTTATTAACAGAAATAATCCTGACATAGTGCTCCTTAACGAAACAAAATTAAAGCCGTTCCACAACATTGAATTTAAAAACTATAACTTTATAAGAACAGACAGACTAACAAACAAAGGAGGTGGCACCGCAATCCTCACAAGAAGATCCCTCGATTATGAAATAATTTCGAACCCTTCATCCATCAATAACACCCTACTTAAATTCACAATTATCAAAATAAAACTAAAAAATGGATCTAACTTATACATTATAAGTTCCTATGCCACAAATGACAATAGAGACATCTTCATAGCCAAACTTAATTCACTCTGCGAAAAACTCAAATTTTTCTTACCAGAAAATTATTACCTACTTATTGGAGATCTTAACGCAAGACACAATAATTGGGGGGATAAAAACTTCAATCAACGAGGATTATACCTTGATAACTGGCTCAACACAACGGGCATAAAATACAAAGCGACACTAATGCCACCATCAACTCCCACGTTTAATAGTGCCTCTTTCTTGGATATCTGCATAAATGATCATAGAATTGAATGTATTATAATTATAATTATAAATTATGATAGTGATCACCGTGCCATATTGATAGAAATCAAATTGGACGAGCCTCTTCCTCTAATTTTATTAACTAACCCTAAACTTTACAAAGCCACGGATTGTACCAAATATCAAAAAACTATCACAAAAAACATCAAGGAATTAATTCCACATACCAGAAATCTCTCAATACCCGAAATCGACACCCACATAACAACTTTAAACGATATAATCTTAGATGCCCTTAACTCCACGGTTCCAACAAGGAAACCCACAGATAATATGTCAAGATATTTAAATAAAAAAATAATACAATTACACAAACAAAAATCTTCTCTATTAACCAAACTACATAAACTTCTAAGAAATAATGCGATAACCAACCCGTCAGAAATTATCCAACTCAAAGAAAACATCAAAAATCTAAATATTAAATTAAAATACCAGTATTTAAAATCCACCAACCAATCCTGGGAAAACCTATTAAAAAAATCAACATACATAATCCTGAAGATTTTTTACCGATAATAAACAAAATATTTCGAAAACGTACCCCCATTAAAATCAATGACCTGCATATCGATCCAAGATCACAACTGCTCCAAAAAGCAAATATTAACCCAAAAGATCTATCGACAATAAATAATAAAGTGGTTAATTCTGACATTATCAACAAATTAGATATAATAGGTGCACACTATGAAACCATAAATTCACTAAAATACCTCAACACAAACACAAGATTGAAAGAATTAGTTGACAGAACAGCAGAACTAATTCACATTGAACGTGAAAATATACGAAACAACGAAGAAACAATTGTCACTTTTTCTGAAGAAAATCCAGCACTCAATCCAACATCTGAGGATCTAAAGGACAATTACTTCACAACAACAGACAAACTTGCAAAAATATTTAAATATTTACCAAGGAAAACATCATTTGGAATTGACAACATCCCACCAATCGCTCTAAAATATCTCCCTTTCCGAATGGTACAACAATACACAATTCTCTTCAACAACGCATTAAACCACAAGTGCCAGCAAAGCATATGAAATTATAATTAACACCTCCATCACAAAATTCTGCAACTCCAACAACATTATACCGGACAATCAATTTGGATTCCGCAAAAAGCACTCAACAATACATGCCTGTAATAAATTACTATCAGACGTCAACCATCATTTACATAACAAAGAACTAGTCGGAGCAATTCTCATCGACTTAGAAAAGGCGTTGGACACAGTGTGGCTGAACGGAGTAATTTACAAATTATACAAAAAGAAATGCCTCGTATACCTTATTCACCTTATTGACGATATAATACACAATAGAAAATTTACCACTACAAATGGAACATCAAACTCTCAACGAATATTCAACATATTTGAAGGAGTGCCACAAGGCACAGTCAACTCGCCTATTTTATTCAACATTCTCACAAGTGATATGCACAACTTATTCGGACTAAACACCAACAACGACTCTTACTCCATCACATATGCAGACGACAAAATCTTATATGTCGCCGGAAAAAAGTAAAGGACATCCAAGAAAAACTACAATTTCTTACGGACAAAATTAACAATTATTACAAAGTATGGAATCTCCGAATTGATCCAAATAAGTGCGATACAATCCTTTTCAGATGTCCGAACCCAATATGTTTAAAAAGTAATATGAGAGCATCACAAAACTTTCAAATCACTGCAAAACACCCAGAATCTGGAATAATTATAAATATTCCACACAGAACGACAGTTAAATACCTCGGTATGCACATCGACCAACTTATACGATTAGACCACCATATTATTACTCAACTAAATAAAGCAAAAGAAACTTTTAAAAAATTTGGTAACATTTTCTACCAAAAGCACATTGCAAAAAGAGTAAAAGTGATATGTTACTTGCTTTTAATAAGACCTATAGTAACATTCGCTGCACAAGTCACATGGAATACTAGCGCTTTATTAATGGAAGCCCTTAGATTCTTCGAAAGAACATGTCTGCGGGCATGTCTATCCATGTATCGATCGCAACACAGCAATTTTGAACTGTACAACACAGTAAACATCCCTCGAATTGACAACTTCGTTATTTCACTCACCAGAAAATTTTATGAAAAAATAACCAAAATAGACAACGCTTACATCAATAAATCTTCAGCTACTCCTCGTAACTGGACTCAGCAAATGAAAACAGGATACATGGCTCTACAATGTTTTATACAACTAGACCAACTTGGATATATTCAAAATAACAACAACATTCCCATCATCTACCACTGGTCTCGCCACAGAAAAAATAAAAAATTACCATCTACGCTCGAAGAATTTAACAATTCTAACAATCACGTCTATAATAAAACTATCCCTTTCCGTGACTTTAACAATCGAGACAGACTAAATAAAAATTATTGGTGGCTACCAGAAGACAACATCCATTTAGCCGACATCAGACGAAGATCAAAAAGGAAAAAAATGTTAGTCGAGGACGACTATATTGAAATATTCCATCCAGCAATTCAATAGTGCTTTCTTTTTTCAAAATCATCATCCCAAAAAGTGACTTCTTATAAAGTGTTTATTCGACAATTAATGTGTATAAGAAATGAGGTTTTTCTATTGTTAAATTTTTAATTTTTTTTTATAATTTATTCCCATTCCATTTCAAAGTATATCAACGAGATTTTTTTATAAGTGACTTACTTCTTTTTTCTCTCAATCGAAATAGTCATAATATAAAGTGACACAGTGATAAAATGTGTATAAACATTATTAGAGACTATTAATACTATAAAATAAAAAATAACTTAAAGACTTGATCCGAGTCAAGCTTATGTGCTTGCAAGAATCAATATCTTATATGTTAGAGACCAAGGTTCTTTTTGTATATTGTTTATACCTGTATAATTTTCAATGTTTTCCTAATAAATAAACAAACTATTAAAAAAAAAGTTAGGTTGTTTCTTTCTGCGCAGCGAACCCGGGTTCAATCCCCAGTCTCTCCAAATGTATTTTAAAAAATTTCTCCGCTAATTTTAAATATTAACTAAAACGCAGGTCAACAGAGGCAAAAGTATTAGCAAGAAATAAATTTTTCTTATTATTTTTAATGAAATTCACTAGAAAATTGCTTTTTTATTTAAAGGGAACTTTATCTGTAATTCTTTAGAATACTTACCACAGATAGTTTTAAAGAATCTTGGTAAGCAAACTTCCTTTTAACTTACAATTTTATGTTTCACAAACTTTTCTATCCTTTTTTCAGAAAACTTTCTACAATAACTTTCTGGAAACTAACATGGAAAAGTCAAAAGCGGAGGACATATGGAGCTACAGGGAAGCTAACAGGAAACTGACCATGTTAAAATCCGAACTTAACTTGGTTAGTTTCCCGTTAGCTTCCTACAAAATATGGTTCGTATTCAGCGACCCGAAAAACCAATGAGTAATAAGTTTTAATCGAATCCGATGAATTTAAAAAACAATTCGCAATTTTCAATTTCTTAAAACTAACTTCAGATTCATATTTAGTGACCCTAAAACCCCACAAATAACAAGTTTCAGGCCATTTTGAATAAAATTTGAATTTTGGCCAGCTTTTTGGGAAAATGCACCATAGTGGGGATCGCACTAACCGAATGCTAACTGAATTCGGTTGACAATAGGTTTTAGGTTAAAAATCTCAAAAAATCAATAAAAAATTGTAAAAAAACAATGATTGTAAGTAACAAATAGACATCCAAAGTGGTAATTTATACAATATTTTTGATAAATTAGAGAATAATTATTAAATTAATTAATAATAATGTGTACCATATTGAAAATCACTGTACAAGATCTTGTACAAGAAACTGTACATGTTCAGCAGCTGAACTTGTACCAGTTCTGGTGAGAATAAGTACCGCCAGTTTGACATTCAAAATAAAATATTCAACAGACAACAATAGACAATAACAAATTTGAATACAGTTTTGCTAAGACGAAAATAAACAAATACAAATATACATTTTCTTTGTGAACATATTCTCGTTAATTGAGTATGATCACTGCAGAAAACGAGAGTTTCTCGCTTGTAACGCATCTCTAGACGTCCGTGAATTTCAGTGCATTTGTGTCAATCACATACGTGATTGTCAATTACTTGCGATATTGCTAGCATGAGTGCCACTCACAACGTAAAACATTCAGGCGACGCACAATTATTATCTGGGATATTTAGGAAATACATTGTGCTGTGTGGGTTGTCTCACAATACCCAATTTCCAATGCTTAAATTTTTTTTAAATTACCCTTTATTTTATGGCGTATATTTGAAAAATATCTTACCATCATACTGCAAGGATCTGTCTTGTAAACAATGGGACGACATTCAAAACTACGAAGAAACGGATAGCAAAGTGATGCTTCCATAGCTATATACGCATTTGAAAAAACTTGAAATAGATTGTAACATTTAATGTATGTATTTAATTTATAGGCTGGTCGATTTTTCATGTAAGCTGGTGCCAATTTAAATACCATAAGTATATAAATCAATGTAATTATAATTGGATACCAAATGCTATTCATTAAAAACCAATCTCTTATTCGTTGATCTGAAAATTTAACAAGTTATGATTGAGAAATTAATCTTTAACGTCCGAGATCTTTTATTAAATAAGGCAAATAAAACGAAAACATTCGGAGAAAGAATAAAAAATTTTTAATTTACTCCAACTTTTCGAAATCGAAATGATTTCCTCTTTAGGGAGTCTATAAAAAATATACAAAATCAAATAAAATACAATACAAATAAAAAAGTTGTAAATTCAGATGTTCATTACATGAACATTTTGCTTCCTCTTTACGATCAGCAAAAAAATTTGCTTCCTCGTGGAGAAAGCATTAATATTGAAATAAACATACAAAAATAATATAATAATAATATAAAAAATTGAGTACCTATAGATTTGAGTTAAATTTAAAGAATGAATGGAAGTTAAAAAATCAAAAATTCACATTTTAGCTGAAATTTCTAAAAATTAATGAAAAATAATATATAATTTATAATCATTTACAATTATATCGGTTTGTTTCAATGCAAGGAACACAATTATTTTATATTTAAACTTGAATTTAAATAAATACAAAATTTTTCAGCTAAAATGGGAATTTTTTTTTAACTTTCATTAATTTATTAAATTTATCTCAAATGTATACTTTATATATACCAATCGATTCCTTTTCATGCAAGAAATACAATTATTTCATATATAAACTTCAATTTTAAAAATCACAAAATTTTATTGCCAAAATGTGAATATTTGATTTTTTAACTTTCATTAATTCTTTAAATTTAAGTTGAAACTATACTTTATATATACCAATCGATTTGTCTTGACATAAGGAATACGATTTTATTATATATAACCTTAAATTTTTCTATTTAAAATTTTTTCGATTAAAAAAAACTTTTGGAAAAAGACGATAAAATTTTTTTTTGGGTATTTTTTAAAATCCTTTAGTCAGATTTGAGATATTAATATGATAAATGAGCCTACCAAATTTTATCTAAATTCATTAAAACCTGTTCAAGTTATCTTCTAAACAAAAAAGGGATCCACACACACACACTCCAATACACTCACATACATACATCCAGACAATTGATCAGGATCTCATATAACATGTTTCTATATAGAAAAAAATTTGTTTTCGCTTGAAAACCACTTTGAAAATTTTTATAAACGAAAGGACTACAAAGCTTCCTCCACGAGGAAGCAAAATAATAAAAAATAAAAAACAATAAGTTAATAAATAAATAAAAATAAGTTATAATTATAAATCTTACCAAATCAATAAGTCAAAAACATGAAGACATTATACCCTGAACAAAGGAGTAGAGTCTGGAGTCAGATATTTATAATTAAAATTAAAATTGAGAAATAATAATAAAAATTACAATTAATAAATAATTTAATTGAAACAAATAGAATTATCCAAAAAATAATAAAATAAAAATAGTATAAAATAAGTAAGAAAAACTGAAAAACAAATTAACATTAACAGTCAATAGATAATAAATAAGTTATTAAGTTTATTAGAAATAAAGATAAAACAGTCAAAGTTATTAAATTTATGAAAAAATTATTAAAATAAAAAAATGTAAAAATATTAAAATGAAACCATTCAGAAATAATACAGTAATAAGAAAAAATTAACATACCATAAAAAAATAAATAAATAATCCATCCAGTATTGAAATAACAGAACACAACAAATTAAAAATAGAAATGATAAAAATTAAACGTTTTAAAATAAAAAGTAAAAAAAAACACAATAATTTGAAAATTTGTCAAATAAAAATATATTGCAAGCTGCAAAGTCAAATTTAAAACTGAGTTCCAAACTCTATTGAGTCCTTACAATAGAAGTAAATTAAAGAGAGACTAACAGAAACAAATAAAATAAAATAGGAACAGAGAATGAACACAATGAGTTCTTATTACGTTAAATTACTGGAAATAAAATTCAAACTCATTTCATACGACTTATCAAAATTGTCGAAGTCAGTCATTTTATTTAAACTATTTTCTCCCTCTTTTTTATGAAAAACATTTCTGATAATAAACGTTTGTTAAGATTTGGTTCAACATCTAAGATATCGAAATCATCCCATTTCATAAAATGTGGAGAAAATTCACTATTGAAATTTTTTAAATGATTAGTAATGGCATTATCATATTTTTCATTTAAGTTAGAATTATTAATATGTTCCTTTTTTTGAATGTGTAACGGTCTCTTAGAAATCATTTCGATTTCGAAACGTTGGAGTAAATTAAAAATTTTTTATTCTTTGTCCGAATGTTTTCGTTTTATTTGCCTTATTTAATAACAACCCTACTGAAAATCCCTGTACAAGATTTTGTACAATTTCCTGTACAGGATCAGCAACTGAACTTGTACAAGTTCTGACCAGTTCCTGTACAGGAAAATGTATACGAATTTGGAACAAGTTCATGTGTGAGATCTTGTACAAGATCTGGTGCAAGATCTTGTACAAGAAAGATACTTGTACAAGAAAATATACATGATCTTGTACAATTTCATGTATAAGTACTTGTACATGAACACGTCCATGTTCTTGCACATGTTTATTCATGGTTTTCTTTACTAAAAATTAAAAACTTCAAAGGCTGCTCAATAGTTTACAAGATGCTCAAATTGTACAAGATCGTGTACTTTTTCTTGTACAAGTATCTTTCTTGTACAAGATCTTGTACAAGATCTCACACATGAACTTGTTCCAAATTCGTATGCATTTTCCTGTACAGGAACTGGTCAGAACTTGTACAACTTCAGTTGCTGATCCTGTACAGGAAATTGTACAAGATCTTATACAGGGATTTTTAGTAGGGAAGTTATGAATATGGGGTAAAATGCCTAAACACTCCTGGTCAAAAGTTTAAAGTTATTGAAGTTACTTGTAACCGTCGTAAACTGCTGCCCTATATGGGAGTAACAAATCCCTAAAACATTAACCAATATTAGCACATTTAAAATAAATTTGTAGGAAGTAATGAAAGTGGAAGTTTTCATGTTTTAAGTGACGTTGGCATTTCTACTTCCCCTCGAGACGAACACTAAAATTTTCCCTTTTAATTTACATTACTTAACAGTCCAATATCTTTGATACACTTTATGTGCTTTGACTTTACTAAATTTTTGTAAACACGTCAGCTAACATATCACAAGATGACACATGATTAAAATTTATCTAACCCGTTTGAACAATTTCTCGAATGAAATGGTAGCGCATTTCAATGTGCTTAGTTGGTACATGGTGAACTGGATTTTCCAACTGTTTCTAAGCACTCATATTGAAAATGTATCGTTATTTGACGCGATAGTCACTACCTTCATTTTTTAATGAATTGGAAGTTAACCCTGCTTCTGGTTGTAAATCTGAATATACTTGTTTAGTACGTGAAAGTGTTCGAGAGCTATTGTTACCGATTAGAATTCGTGAGCAACTCAATCTGTTGGTTTAAGGAAAGGAATAAAAAAAGGCACAGTTCAATTAAACTTTAATTTATTTTTAATTGATAATTATTGTGGAAAGTCAGAATTAGTTTTTTAATAAGTGTTCAGATTAAATGTTTGAATTTAAAATATTTCAATTGCAATTAATGAGTAGAGCTTACACTTAACGACGTGCTCTCTCAGAGGTAGACAGATAACTGTTCCAAAAACCTTGAAAAATGCTTCAAAAGGTTGGATAGAAAAATTTGGCAACAATCTATACGTTTTTTGAGAAAGATGAAAAAAATTTTTGAAGATGGTATGTTTAAGAAAAAAAACACATTTAATTTTATTGGACTCATCTGCTAAGATGTCGAGGTAAAGAGTCATAAAGGAATTAAGACCCCGGTTTGAGTACTGTGAGTCTGCCTGGGTTCGTGCACGGGTAGTTTCTTGACTATTTCAAATTACTTTTAGTATATTTCGCACTAAATGATAGAAAATAATAAAATAGCAGATGTGTCATTTGAGATAAAAAATGAGTTTTAAGATTTTATTTGTAGCTCAGTTTAAGAATTGACACACACAATTTGATGGAATTTGCACTTGCTACGCCGAGTTCCAACAGAAAACTTAGAAGATATGTATGATTTCCTTGGCTGCCTCAGCCATGGCCATATATTCGGCCTTTGTTGTGAATAGGACGACTGTTTGCTGCTTTTCAAAAATCCAGGTAAAGTTCTGCCTAAAGTGTTAAAGAAAGTCTGAAATCCATTAAAAAACACCTCGCTGTATTCATTAGCGTCATGTTTTTACTCTCTGATTTTCCATTTTGCTCTGGGTTATAAGAAGTTATAAGCCTTTGGATAATCCCGCTTTTCTCAATCAATTCGACAAACTTGTTATTAATATACTCCTTGTCATTATCTGATTGTAACTGCTTATACTTCTTTCCTTTTTGTGTTCTGAAGAAAATTCTAAAGTTTATGAATTCGTTCATAAACGTTGATAAATGTGACGAAATAAAATTATCTTCCAAGAGACGTGACACGCATTAGCCCACATTACAGTAAAAAAGGAATTATTAAGCATGCCGTTTGGACAATTGAGCAAGCCGTCTGCTCAATTGTCCAAACGACATCTGGACAATTGGACTACTTGCTTAATCATCCAATGCATTAGGCCCAATCAACCAACACATATTTAGAGGCTACGCATAAGAAAAATTAACTTAGTTTTATATAAAACTTTAAAAAAATTAATAAAAATAGATAAATATTGAAAAATAAACTGTAAAAGAATCTGCAATGGGCAAAAACGACGAATTTTATGAAATATTCTTTTTGGAGTTAAGATGGTAAATAGGTGTCTCCTATTAAGTATTTCATTAACCTAATCATATCTGATAAGGTAGAAATTTAATTGACCAACAGACAAATTTTTATATACGAAACTCGTATATGGTTTTTGAAAAAAGTCGTGTGCATGGTTTCTGAATTGAGTGGATTCGGGTCTCTTAGTAGCTCAACTGGTAGAGCATCTTACCGGCAATAATAATGTTCTGGGATCCTACCCTTGCTGCGAGAAACGACCA